TCTCTTCCATCTTCCTTTGGAGCTGTCCCGGCTTTCGCAGCCATTTTTGGCTGCCTCTCCTCCACCGGCTTCAAGAGCTTCTCCCCGGATCGATCTGGGACTTGCGGCGTCCCTGAGATCCGCGGGACGCGCCCTTTGCGTTCGCCATCTCTTCGGGACGGCTTAGGTCCATCGGGACCGTCCGGGCGAGGAGATATCGGCTGCCATCCTGGGAGCCCCGGATCGCCCGCCGTATCACCGCGACGCCAGCTCCACCCTCCGCAACTACTGTGGTTTTTGTCTAGTCTCCTCTGCGACCTCCATTTCGGCCTCTTCCAGTTCTCCTTTAAATTTTTCTAAAAATTCTCTCACCTTTTGAACAGAATTCAGCTGAAATCTCTGCTGCTTAAAAGTAAAAATCACACTCTCTAATTTGTCCCAGCAAAATGGAATCTTTTTCCACTTTAATATTTCAGTCAAGAAGGAGTATTCTTTTCTCTTAAGTAGGAGACTAATAGGAATTTCTTTTAGGACAATTATATCTGCATTATCAATTTTTAATCTTCTATTAAAATGCTGTTGCAGAACTTGATCCCTTGTGTTCTTCCTCACAAAATGCACCAAAACATCCCTTGGAACATTTCTTATTCTCACAAATCTTGAATTTATTCTATAAACTTTATCTCTGCCTCTGTGTCTTCCTCTTCCCAATCTCAAAAATTTGTCAAAGCTTGTATAATTTTTTCTCTAATATTTTCATCAGAATTCTCTGGGATAGCTCTAAATCTCAGACAAAATTATTTCTCTCTCAATTCCAATAAAGCCAAATTTATTAAAGCTTTCTCTCCAACTCTCTATCCATAACTTCTGTTTTATTCTCCAAAATTTCCACTTTATCATTGACTTGTTTTATATCTCCAGACATTTATTTTACAGAATTTTCTATCTATTTAAGTCTTTCATCTATTTTTTTTTTTTCAAAAGCTGTAAATTTAGTCTCAAGTGACTTAGCCAGTTTGTTGCTGAGTTGAGCAAACATTTCTGAAGTAAATCTAATGGAACTGCTTTCTCTGGAGGCTGTTCTAGCGACCTCCCTTCCATTCGTGCAGCCTTTCAAGTTGTTACAATTGTTACAATCCAAAAGTGAAAGTCTCAAACAAGGAAAAAGGGAAAGACAAACTCCTCCCCCCTTTCTTCCTCTTTTATCTTCCTGTGCCTTTGATGCTGTAATTGCAGGCAAATGTCAACTCTACATCTCCATGGTTACAGTCAGGCACTCAGTCTACTCATATTACCCTTACCTTTTATTTTGTAAATTCCACCAATTGTCTACAGTCTTTAGTAATAAGCAAAAAACATTCCCATGGATAGTCTGAGTCAATTGCCTAATTCAATTACAGCTTTGCCCATGCGCTTTCATAGAAAAATTAACCATTTAAAATTAACTATCTCTTTAATCCATTTTAAGCTTTCTTAAATCATCCCTTGTTAAGCTTTTTGCCAAGTATTCTTTAGTCTTTAGAACTTTAAATCTTCTTCTAATTTTGTAGTCCAGAAAGAAACGAAACTCACCAAGAGGAATCTTATCTGCCATAGAAGAAAATCTCTCTTAATTTGTAGAACAATTAATTCCAAATGTGGCTAAGAATGAGGTTCAGCTGATTTTATTGTCTGTAAAGGCTACACTGCAGCTATGAACTTAGGTGGAATGCTGGCTCTTTCATCATCCTAAATAGATTTCTTAAACACTATTCAATTGCTGCAGGACAAAAACTTACCACCACCAGCAGTATCAATGCCATTTACTATGCCTGGGAATAGGCATGATGGAATATTTTATCAGATTTGGCATAAGGCACCCATTACTTGTGTTCTCAATCTACAGGTAGTCCTTGATTTACGACCATTCAGTAAGTGACCATTCCAAGTTACAACAGTGCTGAACAAATTGTAGTTATGACCATTATTTGGAGTTCTAGCTGTCCCAGCACCCCTGCGGTCATGTGAATGTGATCTGGGTGCTTGGCAACCAATTCGCACTTATGACAGGTTGCCAAACGCCCCACGACATGATCCCCATTTGCAGCCTTCCCTGCCAGCTTCCCCAAAAGTCAATTTGCGAAGCTGGCAGGGAAGGTCACAAGTCACTGGGGTTAAGTCTCCCCCACAAGTGCAGCTCCCCCAGCCCGTCTGTGCTTGCACTGCGCTGGCCACTTGCGCACCCTCCTGACTTGTGCAGTGCCCCTCGCACACCCCCTCACACATCCCCTCATATCCTTGTGCATCCTCCCTGACCAGCGCAGTGCCTCTCACCCACCCCTTCACACCTTCCCTGAGCCATGTAGTGCCTCTCATGTGTCCCCTTGCACCCTTATGCATCCTCCCTGACCCGCACAGCACCTCTCTCACACACCCTCACCCCCTCATGCACCCTCTCCGACCCTCCCCGACCCATGCAGCACCTAACATGCACCCCCTCATGCCCTCCCTGACCCTCCCTTACTTACTTGCCTGCTGGCTTGAGACTTGCAACTTCATGCCGGCTTCCCCACTGACTTTGATTGTAGGAAGCTGGCAGGAAGTTGCCTCGTCTAATGACTGTGGGATTCAGTTAACAACAGCAACCAGGACTGCAGGGATTGCTGTCACTAAGCAATGCAGTTGCACTTTATAACATCGCTTAGCGATGGAAATTCCAGTTCCAACTGCTGTCATAAATCAAGGACTACCTGTGTAGCTAAACTCCACAACCCTTCAAAATCAGGAAAGCAAAAGGATGTCACTTCCAGAGTCACTTCCATAAGTCTTCAAGGGAGTTAATCTACTCTGCAAAAATGTTCTTCTCTTTCTATTCATATGTTGATGATATAATAATCTGACCAAAACAAAATTCTCATCAAAACTGTTGTTTGCAGGTTGTCAAAAAATGACTGATGCAACACTTTGGTGGATTACATCACTGTCATATGTAATAGGTATCTGCAGATTACAAATATCTGCAATAAATTCAGCACTACATATTTAATGATATAAGAATCATTTCAAGGTGAAATGGTTAAGTTAAAAATCTCAGACCCTTCAAAATAAGCCCATTTCCTTATTTTAACCTTGCTAGCATTCCAATTAATTTCTAGGTGTATAATAATCAACACAAGTCAAAGGTGTCTTCAGAGGATAATCAAAAACACAAATAAGCTCTTTGTTTTTTTGGTACTTAAAGCTTCTCAATTCCACATTCTAATTAAATTTTATATTACAGTATACTGTTCCATGACAATTCTGTTCACTTATCAGTTATCTATGCTGTTAACCCCATACTTGCAAGCAAACAAAAGTGGAACACACATGGAAACAAAGAATATTTTTACCTCATACGAAAATGCAAAGTCATCTTGATGCCACTATCAACATCAAAGACATAGTTGGGAGGAAACCACAGTTTGGTCTGTGGGTCATAGAGTGCAAACAAACTGAAGCAGATTGGTGTGATTCCTATAAAAGATAGAAAAGATACTGAGAAATGAGAAACCTTCCAGAATTGTCATCAAATCATACTGGGCATAATCTTAGAAGTCACTCTTTAATTTTATTGGCTGACATCAAAGGCCTACCTAGTCCAGGATCCTGCTTCCCATAGTAATCAACCAGAAACCTATCAGCAACCCCAAAGCAGGACATGAGCACAGCAGTCCTCTCTTTGTAACTTTCTGATTACTGACTACTAGCCACTGATTAATGAAGTCATGGAGGATAAAACTAATTTCTTTGATTGGAGCTGCCCAAGTTGGTGCTCATTGCTTCATCCTGTGGAAGCAAACACCATAACTTAACCTGGTACTCTGTCAAATAGAATGTTTGCTTTTCCTCTGTTTTGAATCTCCTGCCACTCAGCTGCATTGGATTATCTTGGGTTCTAGCAAGAAAGAGGAGAAAAACCTATTCCTGACCACTTTTTCTATACCATATATAACTTTATACACATCTCTAGCTCACCTTTTTTTTCTACACTGAATATCCCCAAACCCTGCTAAAAATTGCTTCAGTCCCCTGATCATTTTTCTACATTACTATCATGACCTACCACTGAGATATAAATAAGGTAGGCCAAAGATTTAAGAGAAAGGGGAAGTTTCTTCAACAATATTAAAAGAGAAGACCTATTCATTAAGTATTAGGAAGATCCCAGCTAAGGCCACTGTAATAACCAAATCTTTATAAAACAAATTTTATGAGCACTGTATAATTGTTAAAAGAGAAGACAGTCCCTGCCTGTGGACTCAAGGTGACTGACATAATCCAAGAGGGAAAAAACTGAGAAAATAAAGCAAGCATTGGTCCCATATTGTTTTAGGGAAGTTAAAATCCCTGTCTATAGGACATAGTTCCATACAGTTTAATGGGAAATTTAAGAGAGATTAGTTGAGACAGTAGGGTTGAATGCACATTAATTACAACAAAAGCTTGGATTTAAAGAAGGTGGCTCCTATTCTTCCTTATGTGAAACAGGCAATCTCCATAGTTTTCTAAATTATAAACTGAAAGGGTATTTATCAGAAGAACAGGGGCTACACATGTCTACCACAATAGATATTTAGACAAGCCAAAACCTATTGCTTCTTACCTATCTTCTGTGCAATATCAATGCAGATCTCTTCAGCACAACGAGTCCCTTTCATGTAAGTCTGATATTGCTCCTCTGCCTCACCCTTCCAATGCAAGAATACCCTCAGGCCTCCAGCAGGTAAAAAATGGCACCTCTCCATGCCTGATTCACTGTGTTTTACTGCACAGTGGCAGAGTGGCATCGTGCGAACGTTCAGTCCTTAGCTACAGAAAATGGGAAAAAAGTCATTTAGAAAATCTAAAACATTTACAAGAGTAAATCATAAGAAAACCATATCCACTCCAGGTCCCAACCACCCCCAAAATATTAAATGAACCAGCCGGTCATCAAAAATGTTCTTACTCCAGTATAGTTTATAGAGGCAACTCAAGTCCAAGGGTCCATACATTTGGGTGGATTTCCTAAATACACACTCTGGTGGCCAGCATGGTAAGTCTTTCACATTTTCTGTTCTGCACAAAAAAACAAATCTCTCTCTCTTTTTTAATGTGTGCAGAACAAGAACTTACAGAGAAAAAAATGGGTGGAATGGATATTTCTCTCCTCTCTAAAGAAATTATTCTCTTTGCTATCTCAAGATGCAAGATGGCATAATTCTAAAAAGGCATGCCATCTTCTTGTGCTACTGATGGCTCCTTTTAGAGATATTATTTCTAAATTAAGCTTACCAGAAAATGTTCTTGTATGTCACCAGAATGAAATAGCTTGTTGCTAATGGCAACCAGATACTATATTTGTAGACTCTTACTTAAAAATCCAGAAGAATCATGCTGGTAGACTAAGCAATGTGGTTAAAATTAAGAAATCTTTACCAAACAATAGGTCTATAGCTTCCATTCAGTATTTTTTAGCTGAGATTCTAAAAGTGAACAGAAGCATAAATTTTGGATTCCAATTTTTCCAGTAAAAACATATTTCTGAAGCCAGTATAAACAGTTACCAATATAATATTAGCTCAAGCATCCAATCACTCAAGCCATTATAGTACTCACACTAAATAAAAACAAGGAATCTTAATGAATGTTAAATCTCCCTGTCAGTTATATAAGCCAGCAATAAAATATAATTATTTAAATAAACAAACACACCAATTTGAAAATGCCACTGCTAACTAAACTCTTCATTAATAATTAGTAGGTGGGAAGAGCAGAATTCGGTCCACTCAGCTGTTTCTCTCTGCTCCTGCTCCCCCCCCCCACATCAAAATAACCCTAGACTGTTTGAACTGCTTCTTAAAGGAGGCTGTTGTAACACCCTAATTTAGGAGTTACATAGAAAAACTCATTCTTGCTACTGAAAATTACAAGGAAAAAAGTTAGAATAATTGATTTCCTGTTGACGAAGGGCACATATTTGACCCAACACTATTATTATTTATTGAATTTTCTTCTATGGACTTCATGGACCTATCCAGGTCATTTTCTTGGCAGTAATATAGAAGTGGTTCATTACTATTTTCTTCAGGCATTTTTTCTGACTTCCAAGTCTTGCTAACAGCCCTTGTTGTATTCCTCTCATCAAATGCAAACCAGTCCAAACCTTGTTTAGCTTCCAAGCCCAGATATGGTCAGCCAGATTTGCTATCTGCTGAGACTTTCCTCCCTTTAGATATTCTTAGGGCAGCAATGAAACAACATTAAAAAGAATTGATATATCCACACGGCACTGGCTTTCTTGAATGTACAAGTTTTATTCAAACTTTTTTCATCGGAAGAAACTGTAATGAGGACTGAAACTCATGGTAAACTTGAGAAGAAAGTGTGTAGATAGACTTATAAATGCTGAAGGCACTCATATTACCCCTAAAATCACCTGTGTCACAAACTCACTGGAAGTTTTGATCCTGCTCACTCAGGGTTGAGTGCGCTGGAAGACTCAAATGGAGCACTGGAGTGGGGGCATATGTGACCCACAAGTTATCTACCCTTGTACCAAACAACATTGACTGAAAATATCTCTAAGTTCCAATTATTAACCTTAATAGAGGCAGGATTTCAGAGGCAAAAGAATCGCAAATTACAGTGACAGGTAGTTCTACTTCTCCTTTCATTTGAGTTAGTAAGAATCTGTATTCTCCAGATGATCATGACTGGAGGCAACGATATGTTGGATATGGACCAATCAATTCTGAATTAATCTTGACAGGCAAGAGATCTTTTGTTGACTAGTTCATAGGCTAAGGAATTGCATCTGTAGCTCATTGTAGTGAGGGTTGTATGGCTTCATAAAGAGGAGAATTTGGGTGTATTCTTTGATGTAGCTTTGACAGTTGAGGTCTAAGTGGCCTTAGTGGCACCCAAATGTTTTTATACAGCACTGCCTGGTGTATAAGAGATAGTCTAGCTACAGTGACTTACTCAGGTACTCTCATCTGAATTATTTTTATGCGCTTTGTGGGCATACATTTGTAAATAGTTAGGGTCCAAGATTACTGTAAGATGGTGAAATTTGCAGTTTGCCTTTTTCTTTGTTGCCAATTTTACATCAGCATCATCAGCATCATTATTATTATTATTATGCTTTATTGATGTTTTGCTCTATATTGTTTTCTGTTATTTACCCTGGGATACTATATAAAAGACAGGCTACAAATGGAAAACAAAGAAGTTCAAGTGTTTTAAAAATACAGGTAATCCTCAACTTACGACCATTCATTTAATGACTGTTTGAAGATACAACAGTGCTGACAAAAGTGACTTACAACCGGTCCTTGCACTTATAACCGTCGCAGCATCCCCATGATCACATGATCAAAATTCAGGCACTTGGCAACTAATATGTATTTACAACAGTTGCATCATCCCAGAGTCACATGATTGCCATTTGCGACCTTCCCGGGGGCTTCCAACAATCAATGGGGGAAGCCGGATTCACTTAACGATCACATGATTTGCTGAACAACCATGGTGATTTGCTTAATGACATGGCAAAAAAGGTCATAAAATCACGTATGACTCCCTTAATAACCACATCACTTAGCGATGGAAGTTCCGGTCCCAATTGTGGTAAGTCGAGGATTACCTATATTAGGTTTTTAGAATTTCACACCTACAATTATTAAAGGAGAGGATGTGATAGAAGACATGAGCGAGGAGGTCCAAGGTCATAGGGAGGGGGAGGGGGAGAGGAATCCCAAGCATCTCCTCAGCCCTCAACCAGAGAGTGTGAAAGTGAGGAGAACGAGACTGGCACCACCCTAAGGAATTCAGAGTGTTTAGTTGCTGTTGTTGAGGGTTAGAGTGAGTCTGGAGAGATTCTGTTTAATATGTGTAAGCTAATAAAGTAACTGAACTGTTCCTGAATTGTCCCGCTGAGTTTCTTGGGCTGAACCTGACATCAGTCTCGCCAGACTCACTCTAACCCCCAACGACAGCAACTAAACACTCCTTATTCCTTAGGGTGGTGCCAGTCTCGTTCTCTTCACTTTCACACTCTCTGGTTGAGGGCTGAGGAGATGCTAGGGATTCCTCTCCCCCTCCCTATGACCTTGGAGCTCCTCGCTCAGGTCTTCCATCACAGAGCAACAATGAAGGACACAGAGAAAAGGAAGGGAAAGTACAAATTAGCTGTCAGATCACCTGGGGAGATAAGACAGCAAAACACTTCAGCTTTCCAAGTTTCAAATGTGCCCAAAATAAGGAGTGATTTCCTGACTGTAGAGCTATTGAGCAGTGGAAGAACCTGCCTCCTGATGTTCTGGGTGCTGTATCATTGGAAGTTTTCAAACAAAGATTGGACTGCCATTTGTCTGGGATGCTCTGAAGATTCCTGTTCTAGAAGACCTCCAAGATCCTTTCCAATCCTATAATTCTGTGATTCTATGAAATATACCTTGAAAGCTATTACTAATTGTCAGTTGTCTGAGCATCCATAAGGATCTGGAATAAAATAAATACTATAAAGTCATTTTTCAGCCAAGCTCAATTCCTGGTAATCTAAATGGAGACATACATGCCCATCTTGTGGCATGATAGGGAAGCAGTTTACCACTGCCTTTTCCTGAGATGTCTTTTCAGCTTTCCAGTCTAGCCTACAGCCCTGAACTTCCCAGATAGTTTTCTCTCCATGTACAAATGAGAAATGGTATACCCTTAGGTCACCTAAGGTCAGCTAGTTACTACCACCTAGCCAGGCAAGGAGGAAATCTCCAGGCGTTATATATGAAATCCCCTAACATAATGTTTCTTTTTGGCATAAGATCCTATCAAGTGCTATTACAAGAAATGAGAAACACTATGAGATTCTAAGGTGCCTTTCAGATAACTTCTGGAATATGGGGAATTATGATTTAGAGTGCTTCAAAACTTTGCTTAGAGTGCACACCCCAATTCCTTGTTCAATTCTGTATATTTTGACAAATAGCATCTTGTACCAAAAGGAAACTTTGACTAGGTTAATAAAACTCACTTCAGTTGAGTTCAAATAGTATTTTGGCCTCAAATGTATTTGGTTTCTTACTTGTCTATTTAGCAGAAGATCATCATACTATTCACAGTCAAATTTTGGCTTGTAGAAAATGCTTGTCCTTCTGAAAGGAACTATTCTCTGTCCTGGTCAAAAATGATATGCAGTGAACCAAAGCTTTTTTTTAGGGTATAGAGGTATATAAAATTCAGTTCCTTAATCAAGTTGTTCTCATAGCTGATTCTATTAAGTAACCAATGTTTGTTTCATTTGCCAGCTAGAAATGTATCCACAAGAAGCCCAATACACCTGTAAAATCAAGTTCTTTTAAGAGGGGTGGGAATATGTAGCCCTTAGTTGTCATTGGGTTTAAAGTACCATCAGCCTCTTCCAGCTCACTAATGAAAAGAAATGATAGGAGCCGAAGTCCAACAACATCTTATGGGCCACAAATTCTCTACATGTTCATATATAATACCTGCAGCTTTATTTCTCCCCCTCTATCTACTATTAGATGTCCCTTATGCAAGTACAACATGTCTGCAAATACTTAAAAAAATGTCCTACTGCTGTGCAATTTCTTCTTCATGTATTAATCATAACATGAGTTTTCTACAATGATTAGGCAGTAATTTTTTCTACATGTTCTGCAGCAAACTGCAAAGAACCAACTTTATACTAAGTGAAACAGGAAATAGTCATTTGCTATATTTTCTGCCACATGATTCAGTTTAGAACTGCCTATGTGCTTGTTTTCACTTCTCTCTAACTACAACACAATCGTGCCTCAATAAC